CACACACACACACACGCACACACACGCGCACACACACACACGCACACACACAGGCACACACAGATGCTAAAGTCTCTCTCTGTGTTTCCAGCATAAAGCGAAGATCCGCTCTCTGACCGAATACATGCAGAACATGGAGCTCAAGAAACGGCAGCTGGAGGAAAACTACGACTGTTTGAGCGAAGAACTCACCAAACTACAGACTGCAGGTACATAAAACACACACACACACATTTATACTGATCAAAAATATCCCACAAAACAACACTGTGGGGGTTTTGATTTTTCATTTATTTATTCTACATTTTATTTTATTTTATTTCCCTCTAAACCTCTAGGTGGCAGAAAAAATGTTCGATTCAAATTCTTAAAACCATTTAATAAATTGAGATTATGGGTGTCTGTTTTAGAGATCATATATATTATATATCATCATATTTATATAATGAAACCATAGTTATTCTCCAAATATTATTTATTGGTACTGCTGAAAAGCCAAATTAAATGATTATGAGATATCCTTCAAGCTTTCAGAATCTTAATATTTAGTTAATTACATTCTGTATTTTTAAAATTAATATTTTAACAACAGTGGTGGATATAAAACAAATGTTTATTTTTATATGTATGCATTCATTCATATATATTTTTTATTTAATATATACATTTTATTTTATTTTATAAATATATATTTTATTTTTTAATTAGTTGTGATTGTATCAAAATAAAATTAACAGAAAATGGTACAAACTTTGCTGAAGATTTAAGCTTTTGGATTAGATTTTATTTTAATATTTTCTGCTTTCATGTTAATTTTAAAGTTTTAGTATTTTTGTTATGTTTTTATTTATTTTTATACATTTTTATTAGTTTTTGTTGTTTTTAAATATGTCAATATAATTTTTATTTCAGGTTTAGTTTTAGATATTTTAGTACATCAAGTTAAACAAAAATAAAAGAGAGAGAGAGAGAGAGAGAGAAATGTTGCCTTGGAAACTAACTGAAATAAATAAGTTGAAGTTTTTTAATATTTTATTCCAGTTTTTTTTTTTTTTTTTTGCAAGTAACAAAATTATTATTATTATCATTTTTTTTAGTCATATTTAGTTTTGGTTAACTATAATAAACCTGGCTTCATCAGCTATTAAAGAAAACATGTTTCACTGTCTGTAGATCCTGTGAAGCATATTTTAAACATACAGTATTATGTTCAGATTGTAAAGTTATTGTCTATGTTCTCAGAAAGCGCTCAGGATGATTTGCTCGACACTGACGAGTCTGCAAACGTGAAGGTAGTTTTTGATTTCCACAACATTTAAATCTCAACCATTTGGTTTATTGCTGGAAAAACTTGTGAATTCTGCAATCGGATGTATTTTGATGATGCTAACTGTTTCAGTCTCACAGATCTGCGGACGCTCAGCGTGAGCCGCAGCACAAGCAGCTCGGCCGTCTGCGTCCTGAAGAACCGAGAGCAGGAGAAGAGCCGACAGCTGGAGGAGCTCAGGTGAGAACAGACTCACATCACCACAGATTTCAGCGATGTAACGATTCACTCAACTCACGATGCCATACGGTTCACCAGACCGATTTCACCATACGATTTTCTCACGATTTTTTAACAAAATGAGACTTAAAGGGGTCATCGGATGCCCATTTAATGTCTGCATCATACTTTGGTTAAAATTTCTCAATGGTCGTGTAAAACAACTAGGGTTGTCCCCCCCCCCCCCAAAACATGCTCAAGTAAGTAAACTTGCAGCAGAACACATTAATATAGTTATTTTAGATTTAATTTATAATTATTAATTATTATTATTAGACAGTTCTGCAACTGTTACCTGGATGGGATGAATTTTTATTATTTATTTATTTATTTAATTTTTTTTTTTTATTAATTTGCTTGAATTAGGACTACATTATTGTGTAATTATTTGTCCCATTTTTATTTAAAGAATTTAGCATTTTTTAAAACTTTTTAAAATGCCAAATTGTATATGACATATATGATTATTTATTATGTATATATTTATGATTAATATCAATGATAAATTAATAAATAGGGCCTAACATTAATTATAATGTATTAATTTATCTGTCTAATCATGTCTAAAAATATAATAATTATGTCTACCAAGCTCTGATAATGTATGGAATATTATATTAACAGACTATCCAAATTTTAAAACAATAGGCCTATACCTTTAGAAGCACAGATGTATCTGTCATCTGTATCTGTATTCACTCTAAAATAAAATACTATCAGAGTCATTGGGGACCAGAAACTGTTTGGTTACCCACATTTATCTTCTTTTATGTTCAACAGAAGAAAGAAATTATTACAGGTTTGGAACAACTTGTGGGTGTGTAAACGATGACAAAATTTTCATTTTTGGGTGAACTGTCCCTTTAAGTCAGACAGTCCACCGTGAACAACCGCTTCTCTGCAAACTGCGCGTTCATCATTATTTACTGGACAGACACATTGATAACTTTCCCATTCAGCCCTACATCTGGAGAGTCTTGTGTTCAAAGGGCAGATGTGAGCTCCAGATGTTTTAAACCGCGCAGGTTTGTTTACCGCATGCGTGTGAAAGGGCTTTAACGGCGCGTTCTGGAGACTCCGTCGCTATGGAAACAAAGACGCCAAAATCACGCGCAAATGAGCTTCTCTAATACTTCTTATGAAATTGATTTCATTATAATTGCTATTAGTATTATAAACAGTGCAAAATACTTATTTGTTTATTCAAATATGTGGCCTTTGTAAAATATGGGACAAATCGCGTCTCGTATTGATTTGATACGGGATGCATCATTTACCTTTAAATACGAGACGATTCCGTATTTTAAGGGACGGGTGGCAACCCTAAAAACAACACCCTTTTTACCTTGTCGAAAACAGCTCTGTTCATGACGAGCCGTTTTGGTGCATGTCTCTTTAAATGATAATGAGCTCTGCTCACCCCGCCCCTCTCTTCCGTTTTTTTGTGTATTCGGTGGCGCGTTACCATCAAAAACGAAAATAGACTCTTATGTTCACTTTTACATCTAACTCCAAAACACCTGCGTTGCTTACGAGACGTTGTTATCAAAAATGCGCACAGCGTACAACTGACTGAGGGGCGGAGATATGCTAATACAGGACCGTCCGTCAGCGGTTGTGGGCGGGGCTTGAGCAATATGACGTCATACTGCTCAGAAAATCAAAAAGGCTTGATTATTGAGACTGTTTAGGTTTTTTAGGGATTAACAAAAAAGGAGTGAATGTATGTTTCTCATTGTACGGTGGTTGTGTCCACATTTATATGCAAACGCCATCCAAAGAGTGAATTTTGCATCCTTTTATTATTTCTCAGCCAAAATTGCTGCACATTTCTTTGTGAAATTGAAATATGTCAAATAACAAAACTAAACTGAAATTTTAAAACAAATCCCAAATCAAATAAATAAATAATACAAAGAAATCTCTTCATATAAACAAACTAAAATTACAGTCAGCCCCTGCATTTTAATCAATGATGCTTCATGCATGCAGCATGAGCAGTGTTTGATTTAAATTAGATTGTATAATTTCAAAATCTGAAGCAAAAACAGAACTGACTGAGTCTGACTTCAGCTTTGTGAAGCAAAGAATAAAACATCTGAAAGAAACAGAAACAGCAGACGGTCTGAATGAGACGCAGATTCATTCTCTGACAGCAGGTGGCGCTTATGGAACAGCAGGCTTATAAATATTACTTTAATATGCATTATAGAGAGGCAAGATAGCATCTAAACTTCTCTGAAGACAGTCAGTTCCCTTCAGAGGTACATTCATATAAAGCCTCAGTTGTATTCGTTAACATCTCAACCGACTTGAATCATCACATATTTCATTGATTTTCAACCGGATGCATCGTTACATCCCGAGTACACACCTGACAGTGAAGGACTGTGTTTGCAGATATCTGCACGAGCGACAGGAGCAGACCAGGCAGGACATGAAGGGTCTGGAGGAGACCGTCGTGAGTAACTACAGCGCTTCAGACTCTAATGATCTGAATATGAATTATAATGAGATTTCTGACACTCCTGCACGTTTGTCTTTGAAAGGCTCGTGAACTCCAGTCGCTCCACAACCTGAGGAAGCTGTTTGTTCAAGACCTCACGACTCGAGTCAAACGGGTGCGTTCAGCCGAACCTCAAACACTCAGATCAAGACTCAAATCATGAGGAATCATGCAGGAACTGACCTGCTGAAAAATGTCACGAAAAACTAAATTATGACCGATTATGGAGCACAAAAGACAGGAACACTTTACAATAAGTTAATGCATTTAGCAATCTGTTAATGCATTAAAAGACATGAATAACAACATTTATTTATAAAACACATTTAAACACAAAATATATTTATCCAAAATGCTATAAAATATGAAAAAAAATCCACACATTTAATTTTTAAATTATTATTATTATTAATATATTACAATTATAATACAAATACATTATATTATATTATAGATATAATTATAATATTATTAAAATTATAATTGATAAAGTTTTTTTTAATTACTAAATATATTATTACATAGGATAAGTAATATATTAAATATATTTAATAACATATTTATAATATTACTAGTAGATAATATACTATAATTACTATATAATGTTATCATTTTATGATTTTAAAAATATTATTAAATTTAAGTAATACAGTAAATATAATTAATAACATATAACATTATAAATATTAAAACTATAAATGTAATATTATAATTTTGTACATATTTGATCAAATTACTAAAAATATTATTATATATGTACAATAATATATGCATATTAAAATATAGTATAATATAATACTTTAAATATTTAATAACATTTATAATATTACAAATAGATATAATCTTATAAGTATAACTATGATATAGGCCTAACTATAATAATTTTTGTCTGCTTTTACACTTTTCTAAACGCTAAAGAATAAAAATATAATATTATCTTAATAAAATATAAATAAATATGATTTCCTGTAACAATGCAATCTTTTTTTTTTTTTTTTGTAGTTAATAAAAATACAACTGTTTTTTGTTAGTTCATGTTAGCTCAGGTCCATTAAATAATATTGATTTATGATTTTAATAATGTATTAGTATATCTTGAAAGTAACAGGAACTAAGATTAATAAATGCTTTAGAAGTATTTTTATTGTTAACTAATGTAACCTTGCCGTGAAACCTTTTTTATTATTATTTTTTATTCAAATACATTTAACATCACTGCACAATAAAAAACATACAGTAACATACAAACACAAAACACATGATGCCAGTTTCGCGATTCACGTAATTAATAGTTCAGAAGTACATACGTTAAATGTAATAGTTCAGGTCATGTAATATTTCAGAAGTTACATAGATTAAAGGATATAAAATCCTGCCTTCAACAGATTTTTATAAATACCCAATATGATCTTCGCACATGCACATGCACAAAAAAAAAAAAGAATGATACATTGATAATCCTCCAATCCAAAAAAATTAATAAAGGGTGACCACAATTCCAAATAAGACCTAATACTCTTCCTAGCTACAGCAGCCATCTGTTCCATTACCATGTGCTCTAATAATACATTCAACCAAAGGTTAATATTTAATGATTGCTTAGTCACTCCAATGTTGGAGAATAGCTTTTTTTGCTAGAATCAGGGCAATGTAAACCAACTTTACATAATGTGATGCAACATCTATCTCCAACCCTAATCCTAACAAACAGAGCGATGGAGAAACTGGTATTTCTATATCGAGTAACATCTGTAATTTCTCTGTAACCCCCAACCAAAACCTTATTGCTAAGTGTAACACTAAAGAGTAGAAAACCGAATCGTATGAGCATTTCTCCTCACCTGTCCTCCTCCTCCTCCTCCTCGTCTTCATCTGTGTTTCAGAGCTCTGAGCTGGAGCGGGATGACAGCGGAGGCTGTTCCACACAGAAACAGAAGATCTCCTTTCTCGAGAACAACCTGGAACAGCTCACAAAAGTTCACAAACAGGTCAGGAAGAACAATCAGATCCCGGAAATCTGTTGCATGCAAAAAAAATCTCTGTTTTCAACTAATAATGCAATGTTAATTGTATTATAATAGCCTCATTTACATATCTAAAGGATGCCAGAGAGATATGTGACCTTAAGTCTGAAGTCACTGGGGTATATTTGTAGCAATAGCCAACAATACATTGTATGGGTCAAAATTATACATTTTTCTTTTATGCCAAAAATCATTAGGATATTAAGTAAAGATCATGTTCCATGAAGATATTTTGTAAATTTCCTACCGTAAATATATCAAAACTTAATTTTTGATTAGTAATATGCATTGCTAAGAACTTCATTTGGACAACTTTAAAGATGATTTTCTCAATATTTTGATTTTTTTGCTCCCTCAGATTCCAGATTTTCAAATAGTTGTATCTCAGCCAAATATTGTCCGATCCTAACAAACCATACATCAATGGAAAGCTTAGCTTTCAGCTTTCAGATGATGTATACATGTCAATTTCGAAAAATTGACCCTTATGACTGGTTTTGTGCTCCAGGGTCACAAATATAAAGACATATTCATCTCTCGCCTCTCGCTCAGCTGGTTCGTGATAATGCAGATCTGCGCTGCGAGCTTCTGAAGCTGGAGAAGCGTCTTGGTTCTACGGTGGAGCGGGTTCGAGCGCTGGAGGACGTGCTGAGAGAAGCCAAAGAAGGAGCCATGAAGGACCACCGGCGCTACCAGCAGGAGGTCGAGCGCATTAAAGACGCCATGAGCAGCAGAAACGTTTTCAGATGGCCTCACGCTGCGCTCATCGGTCAGTGCAGCTCCCACGACGCTCGAGCATCATCTCTACTCCACATCACATGAAGTAGCTTTCATTTTATTTCGCTAGAAATTTTTCTTACATTTCAGCATAACTATGTCATGATATATAACGTTACTATAAAATATTGATGCTTCCTCATACCTTGAAATAAGATGCAATATTTTAAATATTAAGATTTAAAAATAAAAATGTATATACAAATTATTTATTAAATTACTAACCAATATTAACCATTATTATTATTAAATATGTTTGTATTATTAATTGTAATACATTAAATATATTGAAATATTATATTATAATTATTGAATATGATTAAAATTGTAATTTCATAATTTATTACATTTCTAAAAAGATTATTAA